TTGTGACCATGCTACTCTGCACCTCAATGGTGGGCACACAGCACATGGGGTTCGAATGAATAGGCCAGGCCTCACCAAAGACCACATCATTTGGATAAAGACGAGGTCCCACAGAAAGAGAGAACGCCTCACAGAGCGAATCAGATAAAGAGAAAATGTTGCATTCGGCAAATCAGATTAGAGCAAGTCACAGCTTTACTTTTTAATTTTCAAGCCCTCCCCCTTACTTCACCCTCCTGCCTCTAAATTGGAGAAATTTACTGCCACTGTTGCTCATGTGTCTGGTAATAATGTGCTCCACCGCTGTGCTGAGTTATCATCTCAGGCTTTTGTCCTCTTTGATCCGTGTGACCGTTGGGGGACCCACTTCTTCTTTTGTACAAGGTCACAGTGCGGGCTTCTTTAGGACGGGCCTGCCCCCGGGTGGTGACCCCTTCGTTTATCATGGTGACACCCTCACAGAAGACAAGCACGAGCTCGAGCTCTCCCCCTTTATCTTTTATTCCTTTGAAAGCGTTCCTTTAATTTCATTTGCAACCATATGTGCAAGAAGTGTGTGGTCAGATGCTGTTTACGGACCGGAGGAGATCGGTGGATGCAAATACGACATCCACTCAGCAGCTTACATCACCTGCCGGATAACATAAGTATGCACCTGACTGTTCAAGACTGTGAACCTACCAACGATCAGAGACGGAGGGAGGTCCGGAGCTGATTGTCCAAACGCAATTCTTGCATCTGCCTTTGTGAAACCAGGAGTTGTGGATGGACATCACGCCCCTGACCTCTGAGAATCAGCAAGGGACCGACCACCATGGATGGGATCAAACGCAGTGGCTCTGTGGGTAGATGGGCAAGACGCACTGAAAACCAAACACAGGGAGGGAGAGTGATATTGAATGAGGGACACTGTGTGTTTATGTAAATGTAAAGCCTCCGAGAACCTCTCTTGACATTTCAAGAAGTGTCCTCTACTTTTTGGAGTCGCTGCAGAAATCTAAGTTCATCATTCTGCCACAATAACGATATTTCAAATCAAAGTTTAAGGTGCCTGTTGTTGAGTCGAGCAAAGTAGAGGAAGTTTTCTCAAAAGCCATCACTAGACGTCAGACATTCAGCTTCGTGTAACCCTCACTGATCTACCTTCAGGACCAGAGAGTTGTTTCTGTGTCACATGACTTTCAGTGGCTCTGGCTTTAGTGAGGGTGAACGTTAGACTAAATGTCTTAACGTTTGTAATGCCTGAGCCTATCAGCCTGCCCCATTTTTGGAAACAAGGTTAGAGTCTGTCTGCGGTGCAGAAAAAAGACTGAACACTTGAATGTGTCCGGTTCACACCTCAGCACCGGAGTCTGGAGAGGCTCTTGCTAAATTTGCGCTGTATGGGGTAAGAGTGGCAGAAAAGGATAATGAAAGGAGGAGGGAGCCTGTGTGTGCGCCCTCACCCTCTCTGTGTTTGCCCCCGAGAATCTGCTTGTGTGTGTTTTCCTGTGTTTGACAAAGTTCAGGGGGCCAGACTAGGAGAAAGAAAAGGGAAAATGAGAGCAAGCGAAGGATTTGAATGAGGTGGAGGGAGAGAGTAGGTTGAAAGGGAAAGGCAGAAATCGGACAGGAAGACAGAGAGGGAGGACGAGAGGATGTTTTTGGAGGGAAAAGAATACCAGGCAGCTAGAAGCTTGTGTGACGAGATTTTCTACCGCTTTTCTGCACAAGTGGCAGATATTGGGGAGATTTGCAGAGTGAAGCTGCTGGAACTGACAACTCAGTCTGGGAAATATATGTGGAGAAAGAGAAAGAACGAGAGAGGAACAGAGCGGGAGTGTGAGAGGGCGGGAGGGAGATCAAGAGCGAAGCTGCATTAATATGCTAATGTCCTGAGTGAATGCACAACAGGCCCACTGACCAGGCTAATCACTAGTGGACACACACTGAGGCTAATCCCTCATGCAACACTCACACACATGCAGGCACGCAGGCATTAAGCTCAGGGTGCAATATTTGGACAGTGGTATCTTCTGCACAGATTTGCAGCCCTGACCCCCTGTCAGGTTCTGACTTTCTGTTTTCAGCTCCGTTTACTATTAGAATATTTGTTGGTCAGAATATCTGTTAGTAGTCCAATCCCCCAATGACACAGATCTAAAACATTCTGGATCTTTATTCCAGAGAGAGAAAGGGGAAAATAAAACGGCTGAGTTGTTTTGGTTGACCACAATCAAACATTTAAGTGAAAGTTCAACAGGACTTCTGTACTCTCTGGGTTGGTGACTTCAGATATTAATGTAAATATGCTGATTTAGTTTGACATGAAGACAAGGATGCAATAATTACTTTTTTGTCCACAGTTCAGAGTCTGAAAAATGAAGATTAAAATAAATCAATCTAGCAAAGGCCTTCAGATCCTCTCATCTGTTGTTTCTATGTGCGTCTAACCCTTATAATGTTACATATTGCCTTCACTTTGTAAAGATTAACATGAAATAAACTCAGATTTACACAACAGGTTTGGGTTGTTTTGCTGTGTTCTTCCTATTGGGTTAAAAGATGAAAGTCCTGACATCTGTGTTATTACTGGGAACCAATTAGAGCCACAGGGATAAAAGCTGACACGTTCTTTAACGTTTTCAGACAAATATTCTTAAGAAAACAAACAAAAAAACTCAGGTTATATGAATTTGATTAGCATTTTCCAACCAGTCCTGCCCCTGCCTTTTGTTTTGTGCTCCTTTGTGTAAGGAGCACAAAGGAGAAACTTATCTAATCTGAAACAGGTTTTAAAAAATTGCCAGACTAATTGTGAGAAAAAAAGTTATTTTAATTTATCCATACAATTTTACTTAAAACATTTTTTTCAGTATTTGAATAAATGTTTCTTCTTAGAATATGATAAAAACACATACTTATTTTGCAAACTTATTGAGGGTCCGTTTCTGCAAGTTCTATATAATTATTCATATATTCATTGTAGTGCCATTTCAGTCCCCTTGAGGGGGATAAAGCCTGTCAATAACACAGCTGGAAAGCATAAAGAATTATGGAACAACCTGCCATGAAGGGTTTAGTTAAAATAAAATTTATTTAAAAAGGAGGACAGGGTCTGCTCAATGACAAATGGGGCAAAATAAGATGGTTTATTTTATGATTATAATTTCAAATTAGAAACATTGGCAATGGACACTACCAATGGAAATGCATAAAAAAACTGATGGATGATGAAAAAAACAACAATACTGTACATTACTTTTAGCTTTTGTCATCTTGACTAACATAGTTTATAGTCATGTGCGATAAAAACAAAAAGTGAAAAGAAAGTTACCTTAAATCTATTTAGTTATTCAACAAACAAACACTTAATTACATCGAATTGATACTTTGGTTAATAGTGGTTAAAAAATAATGATAATGTAATGCTTTTGGCTATTTTAGTAGGATATGTTTAAGAATTCAGTTTAAAATAACAACATCCACTGAATTGTTCTTGTTCAAATGATCATAACTAGTAATAACTAATAAGAATTCTTTCCATATGTTGCCCAACCTGTGTTCAGGTTTGTTTGTTTGTTTTTTGGACATTTTAGGTAACTTTACATTTCTATTTTTGACACTTTGTATTGTTTCTATAGCCCTTACTTTAAATTCTACATTATATTTCTATATGTTAAATAGAAATGTTCAAATATTTTTACATTTTAGAATCTCTATTCTGAAAAAAATTGTGTCTTATCACCATTTTTATTTACACTGTTGCTGTGCAGTCACAAAAGCACTTCTCTGCCCCTTTCACCATGTACAACAGTGTACACCACAAATGAAAACATTTGTGTGGATCTTGACATAAAATGTTTGTTGAATTTTTTTCTCTAAGTACCTTTAATGGAGCAGAATACAAGTACATGTCCTCAGTATGACTCTTTCTTTAATTTCAGCTAAAACCGTAGCTCATGAACCCATCAATGGATCTTTTCAACAAGTGTCACACTAAGCTGAACTCGTCTTGACCTCCTGACCTCTCACTGGACGTGTCTCCTGCGCTCAGAGACACGTGAACCACAACACGGCCACACAACCCCTCGCTGGCTTCGGCAATCCAGTCTGGCGTATTGCTGCAGTGATTTTAGGGCCCATCAACTCAACTGTAGGCGAGCGCTAAGCCAAATCTTCCACCATCATCATGTTTTCATCGTCGCAGGGGGAGGGAGGGCTGACTACGAGGCAAAGCGGGGGGAGAGGCAGACACACACGGGGCCTAGTCGCCACATCTTTTCATGCGAAGAAGCTGCGCCGTTAAACAGTCAGTAGCACCCTTTTCTTTGCACTGAATATACATTTTGGGCATTTTTTTCCGATAAATAGAGAGTATAGTGACGCGGAGGGGGGACAACGAGCGATAAGCTGGTATTTTTTCTGCAGCTCTCCGATCCATTCAGACTTTTCGGGTTGCTAGTTGGTTTAGGTGGCTAGTTGTAGTTAGCTAAAGGTCTTAGCTCGTTTTTTTGCCAACGTTAGTCAGTTATAGCTTGTTTTTCCTTAAAACGTTGCATGACAGGTAGCGGAATTGTGGGGACTGTATCGGGGGATGTGTTTATCACTTAGTTGGCATTTGTCTGCACGCCAGGTTCGGAGCTTTAAAGTTTTCTGTTAGCTTCAACGAGCTGTGTGGCTGCTAACGCTAGCTAGCTTCCAGAAGCAGTGGTTTGTTGCCATCTGTCAGGGTTTCGTCTAAACTGTGACAGACGTTTTGATTACTGCGATAGGACCCGCTCTGTCTCACATTAAGCAGCGTGTTAGTTGAATCAAACGCTGTGATAGTTGTATTTTATGCGGACAGCACGGTTTTAGCACAAGCTGAGCAGCTGGCTGCTTTGCAAAGTCTTCCTGTATCGTTTTATAAAACGCCAAAAATGTGTCAAATACACGGATGTCCAATATTCGCGCAAGCTTCTTAAGAGCTGGGCGTTTCTCGTGAGATTTAACTTTAAAAATCACCAAACAGACAAGTAATGAATGTGACAATCAGTTTTTCTGGATTTTTCTCTTTCTTTAGACCCGTTTTTGGTCTCCCACACCGACTCCGGCCCGGGCCTCAGTCCGCGGTCTCGAGTTTGACAGCGGGTCGTTAGACGCGGAAGCCCGTCGGCCTGACGCTGCCTGCCAGCCCCGCTGCCCCGGCCACCATCATGGGAGACAGTCGAGGTGAGCAGAAATGGAAAGAAAAACGGCCCAGGTTTATCAGCAAAGCTGCAACTTGTTTGTCCTTAAAAGTCACTGCATCTGCATGCTTGTTTGTGGCTTGATTATACTTTTATCTACATTTTTACACCTTAAGAACAAAAATATACCAGTTTAATTGTTGTGTAACACACTCCTAATCCCGAAGTCTACAGTAATTAGTTTAAAGTCAATCTGGGTTTGTCCAGAGTGTCCTAATTTTCTCTTATCTTATAACATTTAATGTGTGTAAAGTAATCTGCCATCACCAGTCTGCCACTAAATGAATTATGGGCTGTGAGTTCAGTCTGGTTCACAGGACAATATCTAATTATGTGTGAATGTTGTGCATTTTTGTCTCTCTTTATGAGGTTACTGTTCTCAAATAAAGTTCTAGAAAGATTATTCTCTATTCCTTATGTTCATTGTACTTTAACCAAAAGATCTCAGTGTAACAGTTATTTTGCTTTTCTTAAAGTTGGTTGAATTGACGACATATGAAATAAAAAAATGTCAATCTTTGAATTTTAGATGCTATTTAAATGTGTCCTTGGTGATTGTATTTATATCGGTTTGATTATTTGATCATCGTTGCAAACACTGCTCTCTATTGTTGACGATGGGTCACAACATGTAATCATCTGATCTAATTTAGTTTTTCCTGTAAACGCAAGAAATAAACAAAATCAGCCCAAAAGCTCGCACACAGCCTGAGGCAGCGAGTGCGCAGCCAGAAATTCAGCTTTTAGTGAGGAAGTGTATATTTCATTTACCAACGCGAGGCTCATAAATCTGACCGCTGAAGGACCGAAATATACAATATTTACATCACAGACTCTATAAAAGGTCTCTAAGTAAATAATAAGAGCTTTTGGGGTAATAAAACACCGGACAGACAGGATAACACTCAGGTGCTGTTTGAAGATTAAATCAAAGTTTATACCAGGTCCATGCTGAAATTTTCTGGGAGTAGAAATCGGACAAATTTGATTTTTGTTTTCTTTCCATTTTTTTTTAGCCATTTCTCAATAATTTTCCTCCTTAGCTTGAATTTAACAGCACCGCATGTGAATCGTAATTTTTTTGTTAATTGTTTTGTTTATTTTTCAAAAAAGATTTTCACCTAAAAAGCCTAGAAATAATACAGAGCTTTAACTTTTGCTCCACCTCCCAGATTGAGACCCCATATAGACTGATGACAGTTTTTCCTCCTTCCCATAGCTATACTGGGCTGAACGGTGCTCTAACTCTTACAGACAGGCTGGACGAAAAGTTTAAAAACATCAGTGCTGGGATCAGAGCGCAGCTACACAGTTGTAAAAGCTTAATCTGCTTGAAAGGCTGCATGGCAGCTACAGCTGTTGCTGAAGAGGCTCTCCGCACCATCCACAGTCATGACGGTTGTCTGGATGTTGTCTCTTGGCAGATTCTCGCAGTCCCGACAGTTCATCTGTGTCTTCCCCTCCTTCGGGCCAGCGCTCGCCTGCACTGGTACCCTCCGCTGCAGCTTCCATGACCTCTCTGCCACCCATTACCTCCACCGGGGTCAACAGCCCCGTCAGTAGCATCGGCTCCCCCTTTTCTGTTATTAGCTCATCACTGGGCTCTCCATGCTTACCTGGCACCCCCTCGGTGGGTTATGGCCCAATTAGCAGCCCTCAGGTAAGAAAGTGTGGTTGTTACACAAATCTCTGTCTCATTTGTTTCTTTGCACAGAGTTTATGAAAAGCCGTTCAAATGAATCGTGTGTGGGAGCAGGGAAACCTGGGAAACATGCAAACTGATCTGCTCACTCTTTAAGTGTTTGTAACATGTCTGATGTTTTAGAAGTTAGAAACATCACCCTTTCCTCTTCGGTTTGTAAACTTTGACTAGAAGATCTCTGAATGTTTGTTCGTACACTTGGCAGCAGTGTTCGACAATCCCAGGGCCATCTTGGACTTTTCAGAATGTCTCCTGCCAGGATTTTTTTGGTTTGTAAAGAAGAAACATGCTAACTAACATAACTTCAAATTTAAGAAGCAAAGCGGAGTAATCTAGGAATTGTCCTTCTGTCTGTTTGGTTAGTCGGTTTGTTTTGTAACAGTGTTCTCTTTGGGTTAAAGTTGACGATTAGTCAGAGCCAAAAATCATCTTATCTGTGCTTTTTCCTGTAAATGAGAAAAAATTAACCAAAGTTCATCTCAAAAACCAGCGTGCAGCCTGAAAATGTCAGCTTTCATTCGGGACCATAGGAACTATACAGTTCATTTTAAAAGAGACAGAAATTCTGCTTTATTGTTGATTATTATTACCTGAAGAGATTTTTAGATAATTGTCATGTATCAATTGGCGATAATTTAGTCCTTAGATATTAATCCTTTTATTTCCATTATGTTTTCTTTGTTTTTTGGCATATTTGTAAATGTTAATCTTCCTCTTTCCTTTTCTGCTGCCCCCCTCTCTGTGTTTGCATTTAGATGTTATTTTTCATACGAATTTGAGACATTTGGAATCAGGAAAAAGTGGGAAAGGAGCTCCTCTCTATCCAGACTATCCTCATTTCTGGGCTTCTTTCAGATCAACTCGACAGTGTCCATGTCGGGGCTCCATGCAGTGAGCAGCTCTGATGATGTGAAGCCTCCTCTGGGCTTGAAGCAGCTGTCGTCCCACAGCCCGGGGCCCATGCTTTCCCAGAAACGCCTTTGCTCCATCTGTGGAGACAGATCCTCTGGTGAATACACACACTCCCACAGAACTGTGTGCTGTGATGTGATAATCGAAGATTGCTCAGAGGGCTTGAAACACTCCAAAGGCCATTCTGACTTCCATTGTTTGTATCCCCTTTATTTTCGCAGGTAAACACTATGGTGTCTACAGCTGCGAGGGCTGCAAAGGCTTCTTCAAGCGAACAGTGAGGAAAGACCTGACCTACACCTGTCGGGACAACAAGGACTGTATTGTGGATAAGAGACAGAGGAACCGCTGCCAATACTGCCGCTATCAGAAGTGCCTGGCCATGGGCATGAAGAGAGAAGGTGAGAACGGGCATGAGCGCAGGTCATAGCTCCATCCCATATAGTTGGGCCTGAAACAAAAGTCAAGCTCATGAACGCTTTAAAAAATGCATATTTAGCCAGTTTAGTCTTTATAGCTTAGCTTTCCAAACACACTTATGGTCTCTGAGGTCACTCAGAGGGTCATTACAGTTCATCAAAAGTGTCCCCTCACAAAGGTCCATCAGATCCATTAGGAAAAGTTTTCTTTTTATCACTTACATGAGAGATCACATTGCCTGCATTCTCTCCACCCGGAAATCTCCTAAAATCTTCTGTATGGTGACTCTAAACTGCATAAATATTTCCACTTTAATCAGTCTTTCAACCAGTGGGGAAAAAATCCATTGAAACCTGCTTCTGTCGTTCATATATTGTCTGATCCATCACATAACCATGTCATTTTTACCAGGTCTTGTCTTCATATCGCCATCAGTCGTTTTCAAATGCCTTTGATAGGTTGGGCCAACGTAAAAAACAAACAGCAGCAGTTAATGCATGTTTAAGACTCCCATGAGGTGGGAAATGGAGTCAGTATTTAGCAAAGGTTATTTATATGGTACTTTTTTAAACACTACAGGGTGACCATGAGTACACTAATCATGTAGAATTCATTTAAAAGGCCCATTTAAGGCAGTTAAAGTCGCCTGTTTAATCTGGCATTAATTTCGTTCCACCATTTTTTAAAATTCACCAGAAAATCAATAAATAGTCAAACAATCAATATAGAAGTATTTTCATTGGTGATCAGTAAATATTCCTTTCAGGCATAATTTCTTTTGATTTAATCTTTTTTTTTCTTTTATCCTTAGTGCTGAAATTCTGAACAGACTCAAAGTAAATGACATCTGTCCTCTTTATAAGACTGTAATGCAGGCCAAAGTGAAAGGAGCCCGGTCCTTTCTTCCGACTACAACAGCCATCACGAGAGATCCGACTAAATTTTCCTGCAGTATTTCAGCACACGCGAGACATTTCAGGCCTTTGCATGATGATCCCGTTTGGACATATACAGCAGTTTACCTGCCAGTCACAGCAGCTTCAAGGGGCTGCTCCAGTATCACAGTTACGGCTTCTCTTAAAGAGCGCTGATTGGTCTGTCACTGCGATTAAAGGGTTGCTCAGTCTGGTCATTTGAGGGGACTCCAGGGGTCCCTTATTTAATAGTTGCCTTCATGTACTGTGTAGCTTTATGTTTTAAGTGCCAAGAGTTGCATAAATCAGTCATTTCAGAGTCTGGGAATGTTTGAATGAAGCTGTGAGGTCATCTAAAATGTGAACTGTAGAGGATAGAACGAACGAGTAAAAAAGTGGTAGAGAGGGAGGTGGGGGTGGGTAAGTCTTGTAAACACTAACCCCTTGCCCCCTCTCTTCCTCTTTTTGTTTCCTCTCGTTCTCCCCCCCCCTCCCTCCTTCTGTAGTGGCCAAGATGAACGACAGATGTAAGGAGAAGAGGGAGGGAGGGGTGTGTGACTGTGTCTGTATGAGCGATCAACAAGCAGAGATTATTACATAGTGGTGCATTTCCTGTTACAGAGAAGGACTCATTTTCAAACATTTTCCACTGTCTGTTGCCAGCGTTCAGAGGTGGAGCTGGGCCAGCTGAAATTACTGCCACATGTTTGTTTGTTTAACCTTTCCAGATACACAAAAAAGTTTTGAGCACCAACCACAGAGCAGGTTAGGCCACACTTCAGCCATTTTAAGCCCACTCTTCAGATGACATGTTGCCCCTTTTCTGCACACGCTGTTGGGTTATTAGAAGAGTTCAATTCAATCAAAGGTTAAATGTGTGTATTTCCACTGTGGTATTGCTTAAACAACTTGTACTTGCAGGATTTTTAAGTAGCATTACTGTTGATGAAGACTTTTTTTTACTATTCAAACAATAGACAGGATTGTTCAAAACAAAGAAAATAGGGCTTCACTCTTCTGGGGGATTTGTTGGTTGGCACTGACATTTCCTGAATGACTGAGCAGTCAGACCGGATGGTTGGTAAATAGTTCTTTTATTAAAATACTTTCATTCCAGCCTTCAGTTTGTGGTAAGTAGACCAAGTTGCTGATAGCAAACAGAAAGCTTGAACCAGATGGTACATTCAGTCTGTGTTTGAGGATTTCCAGGAAAGGCAGAAGTCGACAGTGAAACCTCAAAACAAATCATTTGCAGCATGAATATAACTTTTTCATTTAATTGCAGCACTTTAGGTTCATTAAATGGATCAAATCAGGCCTGTAAATTGAGATGTCTTCCTGCAAAAATGGATTAAATGCTTAGAGGTCTGATTCTAAAAGACCTTAAAAGAATGCAAAATCCAACCAAATTTGAACGTTGAACTTTTTTAGCAACCAGATGTTTTTTATTAACCTTCAGAAAGACAGATTCAGGTTACTAGTATGTGGATAAAGATTAAAGGGAAAGATTTGATCTTACAAGAAAGTCTGTGTGTTTTCAGCAGGCTTCTGCATATGTTTACATTAATTTCTCTTTTGTTTCTGCCTGTGCAAAGATTTTTTGCTGATCTTTAGTTTTTATTCTTTAGTTTAAATTCCTTTACCTTCCCTTCTGCCTGTTGACACCTCCATCCTCTCATTTTGTCCTCCATGTTCATTACTTTTGCTCTTCTTTTCCCATCCTCACTGCTTCCTCCCTGCTCGCCACACTCTTTCTCCCATTAATCTCTTTCTTGTCCTTCTTTGTTGATCCTGTGTTCCTCCCCTCCCCTCCTTATTCCCTCTGCTGCAGCTGTGCAAGAGGAGCGCCAGAGGAACAAGGAAAGAGAAGGGGAAGTGGAGTCCACCAGCGCCGTGAACGAGGAGATGCCGGTGGAGAAGATTTTGGAAGCAGAGATGGCTGTAGAGCAAAAAACGGAGCTTCATGCGGATGGAAGTTCAGGCGGCAGCTCTGTGAGTTCTCTGTTCGACCACTGCTGATACTATTTCCAAATGAGGTCATTCAGACGTTTGAGGGGTTCAGACTGTGTGTCTGACTGGATGTTATTGGCATTGTTATTGCATGGGATGCTCGGATTAAAGTATCACTGTTAGAGCTCCTTTTGTGTTCATTTCAGCCCAACGATCCTGTCACCAACATCTGTCAGGCAGCGGACAAGCAGCTTTTCACTCTGGTGGAGTGGGCCAAGAGGATCCCCCACTTCTCTGAGCTGCCCCTGGACGATCAGGTCATCCTGCTGCGTGCAGGTAACTCGGTCCCGTGTGCTCACACTGCTCAGTCCCAGCTCCAGCTGGTGTCAATGCTTTCCTTCTGCTGTCTTATTATCATGCAGGTAACAGTTTGCTCTAATAATCCGTACATTTTGTGAATACTCAAGAGTTTTTACATAAACAGAGGAGTTTTTTCTATTTTCCGTCTTGACTGGGATCTGAACAGAATGGAAAAAGTGAAAATAAATGGGGCATGTAGACTGAGTCTAAATTTAGTTTGGCCTTCGACGATGAAGGTTTTATAATGCTGCTGTTACATTTGTGCCCCCAATGTTTAAACTGAGCTCAAGTTTAAGAGTTACAGTTTTAGATAACTGTGTTTAACTTCAGATGTTGATCGTGGATCTCTGTAAGATTCTGGATTTTTGTAAGAAGTTGTCTAATTACCTCTGGTTCGCTCATCGTGTCTGCTTCCAAACAGGCTGGAACGAGCTGCTGATTGCATCGTTCTCCCATCGCTCCATCTCAGTAAAGGATGGGATTTTGCTGGCCACCGGCCTCCACGTGCACAGGAACAGTGCTCACAGTGCCGGAGTTGGAGCCATCTTTGACAGGTAATGCAAACCCGGGCCGACTGTTTTAACCCATCGTTGATCCAGATGTTTCTAAGTCCTATTCTGAGGCCATTACACTTAATTTCAATTGAAAACTTAGAGATCTGCCTCTACAAAGTGTAAATGGTGTTCTTACACTGCTATCCAAACACACCCGTCACTCAGCTGATAAGTGACTGGACGAAGACTTCAAAGTAGTTTCTCCTTGTCTCTTTGGATGGCTGCAACTGCTGCGTTCTGCATTGGCTGTAACTGGCTGAGAGATTTTGCTTCTGTAGTGCTGCCTGTAAAAAAAATTGGCACATTCAAGGCAGGCGGGGGATGGATTCTTACCCATAAACGTGCATGCACAGCCACACCCAGTCAGCGGTAGAACACCCATTGTTGCATCATTCTGTGACTACTGGCTGACGTATATTTATCCTACTAACACGTCTTTCTATTCACACATAAACACGATCTTTTGATTAGCGATACAGACAAATTCGAATAAATTATGACTGCTAACTGCTATGCAGGATTTTACACACGCCTTTCTCAGAAGGACGTGCGGGACGATGTGTTCAGAGCACACAGAGGCAGGACATGATGCTGAAAGCGCCTGTTTTGTGTACAGCTTGTTGATAATGGCTGATGGAAGTCTTTTTCTGTTGATATGCACAACACAAGCACTTGAACTTCCCCACAGATGCCATCAGAGTTGTACGATTTTCTTCTGATAATCTCCTCCTGGCTGTGCTCTGCTTAAGCAGCAGGCTTCTATTTCAGCTTGGCTCGAACACCCATCTGAGGTTATAAAACCCCAGTCTCTTCAAAGAAAACGTAGAAAAGACTCTGAATTTATTTCTTTGTAATGTGTATAAATTTGGTCCTGTAATACAAAAGGGAAAAATCTTTCACTCTTTCATTAAAAGTTGCGAAAACTAAGCACTGCTTACTGTCTCTGTAGCTGCCGGCTGCTCTTTTCATTCTGAGGTGAAGGACGTGGGGGTCTGTCTGTGTTCAAAGCCAAACTACTGAGTCAGGTTTATGACACTGTTAATTGAATTTAAATTTGGTATTCATATCGTCACTGCCGGCTTTGTTGTTGATCACATAGAAATAAACAAATGCTTTAAAAAAAACACAAGAAGATGACATATTCAGATATTTAACTCACTTTGACATAACACAAGTACACAAACCACAACCATTTTACTGAGGGAGTGAAACTCAAGCAGAGGAATGAAGTGTGTGTAAAATGGGAAATGAGGACAGCAGTTTGTAAACCAGCCCATAGCAGCACGTACTTTTAGTACTTTTTCTTCATCCAGAAATCATATTCAAGAGATGGTTGTCCAACCTGAAGGCAACATATACATCTGTTAATCCTTTATTGGTCCACCAAGGCAGCAACATCACAAATAATGCATCTTTTTTAGCTTTATCACAGAGCAAAGCAGGGCATGTACAGCTTTCATTAAAGGACAGATAGGCTGCTTATAAGCAGCTTTATGCCTGTTTATTCTTCATGTAAAGTTTAAATCAGCCCCATGTAGACCACCTGGTTTAATCCTCAGCTCCACAGAAATGTGTACGGAACAAAACGACACCTCTCTCTTTTACCACAGACACGAATGACAAACATGGTCAGTTCTGTTTGGGTTTTCTGAGACGTCGACTGTGCTTCCTCTCAGTGAAATGAAACACTTTTCCTCACTTCTCACATGGGCATCTGTCTTAATTTAACTCTGCAGCCGCAGCTCAGTTTTCATTCATTGGGATATGTTTGATGATCTGATCAAATTTATTGTAAACCATCACAAATGAAAGTTTATTTCATTTATGCATATGTCATTGAAGAGTTATCAAACCTTATATCAACATAAACCTATATCAATAGATTTGTGAGTTTATGATGTCAAACAGAGTTCCACATTTGACAAAATGCTACAGATTATCTTTTGCTGCAGATACAGTGAATAATCCCCTTAGAAATATCAGAGGATGTCCTACATACTCAGCCAGGTGAATTATATGAAAGGAAGGCCTATCTGCACAGCTCAGTGCACAGACATAAAGCTGTAATGATCATGTAACTGTGTAATGACTCTGTAATAACACATTGTGATTGAATACACAGGGCGCACAATGCTGAGGTTGGGGCCATATTTGACAGGTAATTACGCCACTACACAAACACTTTTCTTGAACCCCTCCTCTTTGGCTCAGCATGAAAACGGACAGCAACATCTAACAGGTTGATGCTTTAGGAGTTGTCTTAAGCTCGGGAACAGCCAGCTGAATGCGTCTGTTTGTTGGCATCTTCGACTGAATAAGATGACCGGCAGCAGAATATCAATAATGGCTGGTTATTTATTGATTTCATGAGCGTCGTTTTAATTCTTCCCACTCCACAAAGACTATGAAACATCTGGATTGGCTTGATTAAAGTATGTGGCTGTGTGTCCACATTTTGTGCTATTGCAGTGCTCAGTTTTTTAGTCCTGGCCTAATTGACCGTGGCGCCTTTGCAAATCTTGTTAGCCCTCATCAGTAAACCCCCCCAGCTATGGGAAATAACCGTTTTATAACATTAACGACATGCGCGTTGGGTTTGTACCAAAAATCACTCGAGCCTTTCTCCACTTTCACAACCTAACAAATGTATCCATTGTATGGGTGTGTATTAAAACCGTGCACTTTGCTGCGTTCTTGGTTCCTTTGGAAATCCACATCATTAAAAACAAACATGCATCCCTGGTCATAAATGCCAGAGCTGCAAATGAGTCCACAGTGCTCATCACTTCCATTTTCTGGGCAGCTTCCCGTGAAAAAGTCTTCTGGTTGCAACACAGGAGTTGTTCCTCGTGCTTTCTTTTCTTCCTGGGCGGGTCTGGTTTTGGCCGATACCGCCTTTAAACAGGCAGCTGCTGTGATTTCCCCGACTCTGTGCAAGTGGTTTGGTCCACTTTTGTCCATAACTGGACTATCCGGTGTGAAGGTGCCTTTTAATTCTAATCAGGTCCAATTAGTCTAGTTTTTAGCACAAAGACAACGAGGCCACAGAGGGAATGTTATAGTAATATTCCTGTGCTGTCTTTAACATTTTAGCCAGCATTATTATTATATATTAAAAGATTTTCAGCGCTCATTTCAATATAAACCATTATGGAAATTCCATTTATTTGAATGAGACATTGAATAAAAAGTACATATAAATATAAACAATATCAATATAAACAATATAAATTAAATTGTCTGAATTATAAAGATAATAATTATAAGAGTATGTTTTAAAACCCTTGAAAAACAGATTTATTCGTTTGGTGACTTCAATAGGAAATAGAAGCTTTTAAAAATTCCTAACACAGCTGTTCTTTTCCACATGTTTTTCTTTTTCATGACTTAAGGTGTATGAAACGGTGTCTGACCATCATCCTGTTGAGGCTGTTTTAAAATAATCACACATCAAGAAATAAAACAGATTTGACTATAATATATCGATATAGCTGTCATACTCACTGTTTAAGAGGACACAGAGTACGTTTTCTCACACATTTGACGGCATTGTGTCGCCTGATATTCTTTCTGTGACCCGGTTCTGCTTTGGTTCATATATATTGGGACAGGGACAAGTTGGGACAAATGGCCAAACTTTTAATTGTAACTCAACTCAACTGTGCATGTATATGCTCTCTTCACGTGTTTTCTCTCCAGCCTGTTCTCATTTTCTACATTTTGCTGCCACTTTTTAGGTCATCTTTACACATTTGTTAGCGAACGCGTTCACAAACACGATCAAACACAGAGTAAGAAGGACAGAAGCAGCAGCATGCCACCCTCGTTAGTTCTGGCTTCTGTATTCTCCTGCAGAACCAGCAGTTCAGCCAATGCACAACTAGTTAAGAGGTCACTTCGCTGTAAAACGGCCATGTTTGATAACAGTCTGGATTTCTTAACTCTGCTTTCTTTCTCTTTTTCATCCTGTCTTTTAATTGATTTGCTGCTCCTCCTGTTCCTTGTCCCCGTTCTCCCTCTTCCTCCATTGTCTGCATTGTCCTGATGTTTCGGTACGGGGCCTCCTGCTGCATATGTCTTCTCTTTTCTCCTCAGGGTTTTAACAGAGCTCGTAAGCAAAATGAGAGACATGCAAATGGACAAGACAGAGCTGGGCTGCCTTCGAGCCATCATCCTCTTCAACCCAGGTACGCGGGCTGGTTTTAAAGCTCACACAAACCTGAAAGTGTCATTGAGCACGTGGAGAATGTTATAAGTTTAAGCGTCTTTTGAATAAAGTGCAAATGTTTCCGTTTTGTCCCTGAAGATGCCAAGGGTCTGTCCAACCCCAGTGAGGTGGAGCTTCTGAGAGAGAGGGTGTACGCATCCCTGGAGGCTTACTGCAAACACAAATACCCCGATCAGCAGGGCAGGTATGGACCAGTGGCCCTCCTCCGCCACTACCGACTCGGTTTGTTTGGTTTTAGGTAGGAGCACCAACCAGGTACGCCTCAGCCCCTGGTTGGAGTGCAGCAGGGGGCTCCATGCCCTCCGTTGTTTGGGTTTTTGTGTTGCATGAAAATTGTGTCACAGCCCCTTCAGCATCTTCCCACTAAGCCCCCACACACATTAAGGTGGAAAAACGACCTGAGTCCATACCAGCAGAACATGGCTGATAAAGGAGGGGAGGTCGAACCCCAACCTGCCCCATCGTTTTAGGTCATTCACTACGTTGAGATTTGATTGAATTTTCGCTTCCTGACATGACATGACACTTTGGTTAAAATTCGTAGCAGTCTGCTCAGCATACACATATTTTTTAAAAAGACTTAACCTTTGGGGATAGCAACTTTTTAAGAAAAGCAACATGCCACTCAAAAGTGGAGCTCAGCGTCGATGCCTACAACTGGACTTTCAGGCTTTCGCTCACATGGTTCCTTGTCTTCTTCCCTTTTTATTCCAGGTTTGCAAAGCTCCTCCTGCGACTCCCAGCACTGCGCTCCATCGGCCTGAAGTGCCTGGAGCATTTGTTCTTCTTTAAACTGATCGGCGACACGCCCATTGACACCTTCCTGATGGAGATGCTGGAGGCGCCCCACCAGCTCACCTAAAGGAGTCCCGCTCAGTCGGGTCAGGATCCGATGCTCACCAGAAAGATCAACTCGGCCTCCTGTGTTTGGTTGCCTGCTCTTGGTGTTGGGCCTCACTTCAGCTGGTTGTAACGAAGCAGCTTTCACACACAGACAAATATTCCCCGTCACCATGATTACCTGTCTCTCACATATGCATATAGACATTTCCCTGCAACTGAAAGACAATACTAACACGCCAATAGAATTGTTTGGAATGAACATTCTGGTGAAAACACACATGCACGCATGCATTTTTACCATCATTCCCCCCACACTCGGTTTCCCACCAAACGGTTACCGACTTAAGAAATGTATTCCCCCTTTCCCCACATATACAGTAAATGTCTTAAGTTAGGCTTCGGTTGTCACATCTTCATCTGACAGTGGGTTTTTGCTTTTGCATTACTGATACTTTTTCTTTGTTTTTACTTGGGTTACTTACAGTTACTGCTAGCTGCACCTCTGTATATTATCCATAACTAGCTGGTTAGTTTTGTGTGTATGATTTTAGCTTCTGATATCGGGTGCATAGCATTCAAATCAACTGTCCACCATCAAAGAAATTCACTTTTTATTGTCAGGAAATGTCCTATAAAGGACATTGAAGCACCCTGCCAGTTATTTCATCAGATTTGATCGACATTGAAATATTTTATGGTTGTTTTTTTGTTCTTTTTTTTTTCAATCATGCAGAAACTTGTTAGAGTTTCTATTTTTGAAGTACTGTACTCATGAAATGAGAGCTTTTTCTTAGGCATTGAAATCCAGGAAAAGCGGGCTGGGAGCACTTAGTCCCTCCCGCCGTGATGCGCACAGCGAGCTTTGTAAGACGAGAAGAATGACTTGAATTTTGTTTCTTTTTTTTTCCTTTCTAAAGCTTAGATTTGATCCTTTTCTCTACTTTGGCAGATGTTTGGCATCTTAAACTGCTTGAGGCTGACCGGAAGTAAAGCCTCTCGCAAAGAAAAAAAGCATTTGTTTGACTTTTATCTCCTGCTCCCTAAACCCTACCCCTACCCCCTTTACCAGTGGTCATTAATGCACTTTTGTGAGTTGTAACTGTAAATGTTCCTACTTCCTAGAAATGACCATCTTCTTTCAGACACCTTATATGAACTTGAAGGTACTACGTGTAGGGTTTTCCTCTTAACGCATCATTTTTAATCGACTTTGGTGTTACCCATCAGGCCCTCGTTTTGTCCACCGTATCGGTCATGAACCAGGAAAATGACCATTGGGTGCGATTCAACCGCTTGTGTCTGAGTTGTGTGATTGGCTGACCAGTGAGCCTGTTGAGTAAATTACTCTCGATTTTTCTACACAGTAGATACTGAAATGTCTGTGAACTGTATGTTTGAGAGGCATCGCTCCACTCGAGTTAATGCAGAGTGTGACGATTTGATTTTTTTCTTTTTTTGGAGACATGGAAAGGGGAAGATGCCTTTGCGGCTGGTAGTTGTTGTCAATGGGTGGATCGCTGGTTGCGGGTGCACAAACGCGTGCACAGCGTTTTAGTCACTAAATCCTCGCGTGTGACGCGTTGCAGCAGTGAAACCCGTCGATGCTTGACAGTCAAACGGAAATCCTACACCTACTACCTGCAGCTTCAGAACGTTGACTGCGTGTCGGCTCAGTTCCGCAGACTTTTGTACAGTAGATGTAAATAATACCAAAAAAAACAAACCAAGAGAGTAAAATGTGTGGCTCCAAACAAACAAATTTCTATTTTGTGCTTTTGAATCAGTTGTGGAGTCATCACCCCCCCCACCCCCACCCCAGCCCCGTGTAATTACATCACCATGAAACTGTTATTGAGCCGAGGGCCAAACCACACCTCACTGCTGCTTTTGCACCAATGTCTCCCTTTTCTTCCTGGTAACCAATTGGCCGTATTTTGTTGACGATGGCGATTGACGTTTACTGTGATTAAAACTCTCGAAGAGAAACTGGATCTGAGCATCGCAGTGAACAGCCAGCTGTAGCTGCCGCGCGCTGGGGAGAATCAGCCCTCTGAACCGAACCACCTGCGTGTGCTCAGAGGCCAGCAGCAACGGGGCACACAGCTACTTACTTCCATGTTGTTGTTTTTTAGCAAAGTATTAAAGAGTGTAGACCTTCTGAAGTAAACGGTGCCACCTGCCTAGTCAGCACATTTAGTAGAAATTAGGAAAACCAATTTACAGGGAAGAGGGACTGCAGTCCTCTACCAGGTGCTAAATCGTTAACGTGGTCTTTGGGTGGAAGACTTGCACATTTTCATCAATGCAAACTCAGTATGCAAATACACAGACAAATCAGACGGCCGCTCTCCACCCACGCTTACAGTGTAGATTTCTATCTCAGTTATTTTACCCTCACGACCTCTATCTGTGTTTTAGTCTCCCAGAGGCAGGAAGAGACAGCCGGCAGAGCTGTTTCTGCCTGCAGCCGTCGGGCCGAGCCAGCGCGCTCTTTCACGTCTGGGAGGGAAGTTCAGCCGCTGAAAACGGTGAAATCAGCCGTCAGATTTTAGGGCGTGCTGTCCGCTATGTTGGGAGGGATCAGCGAGCGGCCTGCCCACCCTCCAGAGAACCTGGCCTCACCCATGTGATGCGGAGCCAGAGGCCGGTTGACCTGTAAGACAGGCGTCCGGATTTAGCTTTTAACGTGTGAGGAGAAGGTCGGCGTAGCCTTCTCGGAGTTTGATGCTGTTTTAGTTTCTATTATCTTTGCATACGTTCACTCAGCTCCACAGTGAAAAGTCGGTCCCTCCCGTTGACCCACTTTTGTTGGCAAAAGTAGAACAAGATGGCTGAGCGCTGACACCTGCCAGGATTTGAGCTGCTGTCTCAGAGCTTCAGTGGCTTGATTGGGTTCAGTTAGTGTGAATGATTCTGTGGCCAATGAGGTTTTAGATCTGTGATCTAGCTTTGAGTTAGCTGTCCGTCAAAACCGGGCTTAGGAGTGAGGCATGTGCCGAGAAGCTGATTTGAGGTCATTTGCTTGCTTGAATAATCTCTGGTTGGTTGATATCTGAGGAACTTTCTTTATTATGTTTGAACCTGCTGCATCTGCACCATGTCTATAACTGGGGGTGGGAATTACCGTCGCCTGGCAACCGCTGCCGTGCTGACCAGCTGACTTTGGATACTCACAAAGAGTCCTCAGATTTGAAGGCTGCAGCTTGTTTGTTGGGACACGGTTCAGCAGTTATTTGGAAGCTATTTGCCGTGTTTTTAGCTTTTAAAACCGAACCGGGTCCATTGCCTGACATCGGTTGGCTGTGAGATCGTTTGCAGTTCCCATCCCACCTTCTTGCAGTTAGGTTTGTGTATTTCTGAGCATTTATCACTGAGCCTGGTGTTTGATGGTGATAAAGACAGTGAAAAAAGCTAAACACTCAGAGCAAGTTCTGTAGCTAAGCCACATCTAGCTTTGCTTTGCTTTTTCTTTCAGCAAAAGCTGGTGGTTGGGTATCTCAGTTCTTTTTTTTTTTCTTTTTTTAGGATGTAGTACATGTGGCCATGTGTCTGTTTTGTGCACATGTGCACGAAAGCTGCAGCTACGCCTTTGAACTGGCAGAAAATGTAACTTTGGCTGTGACTTCTGGAGCGCTATTGAGTTAACGAGTGAAACAAAAGGAGGAGAAGGGGGGGGGGGGGGGGGGGGGGGCTGGTGTGTTGACATGGTGCTTTATCAACACAGCCTCTTCTGGACTTGTGCCCCATCCTTTGCTGTTAAAGTTAAGCCCTCACTCGCTCACCAGAGGGGGCTCGGCTTTACGGGGCTTTGCTTTGGGGTGAACTTTAGGAATTCGCTATGACTCTTGGACTGTGTGAGGATGTGAAGCTTTTAAACGGGACACGCTTGCGTTGGAGAACCGTGGAGAAGGGACTCTGAGCCGTGCGTCCCTCTCTCTGCTTACTGTACTTGACGGCAGAGCTGCGATAATCCGCGGTAACCGTGGGAGACCGCCGAATCGCACCGCCCACAATTGTGTGTCATTGCAACGTTGTGCACTCGAGGCGGACGCATGCTGTGACCTTTGGACTGTGTAGCAGCATCGTTGTCGCCATTTTTGTTACATTTTGAAACTTTCAAAAGTAAAGACATTGATTATTATGCTTTTTCTTCTTTTTTTCTTTTTAATGTATCGCAAGCTATGACTGAAGACTTGATCAATGTGTGTAGATTAGTCACCAGGGCGGTGTTGGCGCACGTGCCCATCCTGTTTTAATCGATAAGCTTCAGCGTGGGTTATGCAGCCTTGAAACCACCCTCACTGTTTGCTCTTTGATCACTGCCAAGCTGTTTGCAGCCATCTTAGAGGCGGGGGCGGTCGGCCCCCGGGCTTGGCCGTCGTGTTGGTTGTGATGACGGTGCAGCATGCTAACCGTGCGCTGACCTCGGCCTGTGTACAGAGCAGGGGCCCTTTTAGGAACGAGGATGGCGGCTTGTGTGGAGGGGGCTGGCCTGGTCGGCGCAGACAGAAGCCGACCAGCGTTTGGACCCCTCCGGGTGCTCGAGCTGTGCTTCGGTGCTTTTCGTGGGGTCCAACAACCTTACAACATGCATCTGTGAGTGAGAGGCAACTAAGGAATGATTAAGCCGGACTAGCCGAGTCCTGGTCCTGCTCTTCTTCACTCAGTTATTGAGTCTTTTTTTCCTCTTCTCTTTTTATTTTTTGCTATGTTTAGCTTGAAAAATGTAGAAAATAAAAAACCTTCCAGAGTCTTTTAGGATCTGGGGGGGGCAAGCTGCGGCCCTGGCTGCTGCAGAGCAGAGCAGAGCCTCCAGATTTCACGCCCGGCTTTGTAGGGGGCGCCTCTGAGCAAGGTCTGGTCACAGAGAAAGAACGAACTGAATGTGACGGCTTTCCTTTAGGAGGAGGAGGCTGGAAGGGCAGGTCAGAATAGTGGGAAGGGGAGAGGGAAGGCGTGGGCTTCAAGAACATGGATAGGTTCAGTTGCTGATGGAGAGGAAAAACAGAGATACCTATTTTCCAGTAGATCTAGGATCTTCCTTAATTGTTTACTCTTCACCTTAAAAAACTTTCACATGTTTATTTGTCTTGCTTCCTGTCTCTGTTTTCCCACTATGCTACTCACTGTTTCTTTATTACAAAGTATTAAACAAATGCAAGACCTGAAAAATCAGAGCGGAAGCTGTCACTCTTCTGTTTCATTCGTTTTTTCTCTTGTGTCTGTCCTCTGTCCCGTTTGTATTCCACTCCATTGTACACGTGGAGCTGATCAACTTTAGTGTGCTTTGGGGATTGAAAGAAGTTTTTTTTTTTTTTTTTTTTTTTCAGTCATTAATTCTGAATCTTGTTTCTGTTTGTTGTATCATGTCTGAGTAAAAGTTTTAATACTGTATGCGAAGCGTGTTTTATTTATTTAAAGAGACGGCAAATTCTGAAACATAAAGAAGCGTGTAAAAGTCAGCAAAGGACTCGTTTCAGGACTCGCACAACAGTGGAGGAAGTCGCATCCCAGCTGGGCTGCCGTCAGCTGCCCAGTCCGGCAGGACCGCAGGGCCCCAGCTGACCGGAGCCTCCGCACTCCCTGCTTCCAGCCTCTAGAGGGAGCACTGACCTTTTGTCCAGTCGGACTGGCTTTTCTCCGCCCATCTGAGCTGCTGGTTGGTGAGATGCTGTCCCCGTTTTCTTCTTTCCCTCCACCTCTTTTACACACCTTGGGGGATAAGGAGCAGCGAGGTGAAGATTGCAGCGTTCTCTGGATTAACGTCAACATTATTGGCTCCGTCTCCTTCACCACATACTTAGGTTCTGGGAAAGAGGAAGGTGATGAAACCTTTACTGAACACACACCTGATCACACCGTCCTCCCTCGTTAACAGGACTTCATCCCTCTGTGCTCTTTGAACCTGAACATCTTAGATTTTTCCATTTGCTCATGATTCCATACATCTGTCAGGGTTGTGTCCTATTAACAAATGAAATGAGGGATTTTTCAGAGTGCAGGAAGGACGCAGGTATGCGGCCGGCCCCTGCAGTCCCAGCGGCCGCCAGCAGAGGGAGCCGACACAATGAGCTCTCTGTTGAGACTGCATGCAGGGTGAGCTGCAGCGCACGAGGAGACGCTCACCGAGCTGCACATTTGCACTTTTTTAAGTGCTTGTGAAAGTGGGAGACTCCAGAATATGACTTCTACCAGGGGACAGTAGTTATGTTTTACTTTTAGGTGCCCCTAGCTCAATTTTTTCTGGCGCCTTAATCTTTCACACGACCTTTGACACCCTCCAACTCTGCCGTCTACTCTCCCTTTTCATACTTCACTTCCTCCTCATCACAGCTTTCTCTTACTTTCCTTTTCATGAACTCCTCTCACTTCTATTGTTCATTATAATTTTGCCTAATTTCTGACAGAATTCAGCTTTATTTCTTGTCCTCTTCATCCTCTCTCCTCCCTCTGCTGGGTATGTGAACCCGGCAGAAAGACACCTTTATACCAGGAGTCAGATTGCCCTCCTTTTCTACCTCAGAACTGTCACGTTTCAGCAGCTGAATGTTGTTGCTGTGTGTCCGAATTAACGAGCCGTGTTTGAAGCCGCTGGCCAGCGGTGATTTGGTGAGTCCTGTGTGGCAGAGATACCCCACACATTGCACAAACACACACCTGCAGAAAACTGCCCGCTCGGTGCTTTTCAGACAGGGTTTGATATCAGATCTGTTATTTTCTCCTTTGCCAAGTGGAACCTACACAGTAAATAAATATTTTAACCCACCATAGAATTCAGAGGTTGACATTTGAGGCATTTGCTGTCTCCTTAAATGATCCCATTCCTTGTTGTTTGTGTCTTTTTATGCCCTGTCTGTACAGAAAGAGTCACGTCATCTACAACATTTGAAGGGAAATCAAATAAAATATCGATTTGAAATCGTGGTATCACAGTTAAAAACTCCCTGTTGTTTGAAATGCTGGAAAATGCCTGTTAGCTAATGTAAAGAGGAATGTAGAACAACTAAGGGGTATCATTTAAGGCATCTTTTGTTATCTTTTTAGGTGCATACATGTTTTTAAGACAATATTTTACGTCATGAAAAGGAAAACAGCTTGTTGCTCCCCAGACGTTCCGACCGTCTGGATGGGAAAAGGCCTCGGAATGACTGGTGAGAACATTTAGCCGAGCGAAATTGCTGGTCAGCCACCGACCCCATGTTCCTTCAGCTGTAATCATATGCTCGGCTTCTGGATATACACAGACCCACTCTGAGCCAGGGTACATTTAGATGACTGCGAACTCCATCTTAGATTAAACGTGGTGAAACACAAAATGTATAATTCATGGTGTTTGTAATCAGGGGAACATGGCAGACTGAATGTGTGCAGCTGGAGATGCTGAGCCACATGGGAAGGGTTCAGAACGTGGTGCAGAGCTGGAAAGTAACTAAACTCAGAAGATATGCAGATTTAACAGTTATCATTTTACCATCACAATTAATTTAATGTATGCTCAGCCCCTTAAACTCCAGCTTATTTTGTTCAACTTGACATCCTCAAATTTAGTCACCATTGGCTTTATTGTGCATTATCTTGGCCAGTCTGGAACAAAACTGAGGTTATCCTGAATTTCATCCTGAATTTGAAGAGGGCCCTTGATTTAAGGTTGTTTCACTTGTTCACAGACTTGTTTCGTGTTTCTGAATGTTCTTCGAAGGATAAAATATAGAAAGCTTTCACACAGGAACATTTATCCGCATCGGTCATTGTGATGCCAAGAGAGGAAAAAAGGAGGACAGGTGCCGTGGCTGCCTTCTGATTAATCATGAGCTTATATTTGTTCTGGAAATGGTCAAATGTCTCATTTTCAACGTGGGATTTGTTGTTTTTTGAGTATTTGGGAATAATTGTAATCTATTATTTACATTTTACAGCATCCAAACCTGTTCTTGTTCCTGAATAAAAATGTAAATTAGACACTGATTAAAAACTTTTTTACAAAGATTTGGTAAAAAGGACCGATTCATATATATGCCATAAATATCCTATGAATATTTTACACATCCAAATAAACAGCTGCCTCTTTAGGTTGAAGGTTTTGATGCTTTTAAACATTTGTAAAATCTCATAAATTAAGCTTATGATAAAAAATTAACTTAGGGATTTCCAGAGAGAAAAACGATGTAATTTGTCCTAACATTAAAAACAGAATGTGCAGTAAGGAACGCCTGGATGGTAAATCTGTTGTCCCAGGGCCTTACAGGCAGTCTCCTAATTTCAGTGTCATGACGAGACGCCGGGTCGCGTGCGTGGGAGGATTAACGAGCTTGTGTCTGTTTGCCAGGGACGAACGTGAGAGGGAAATCTGCACAGGGAGAGGAAGACGGTCGTGAGGATGGAGAGACAGAAAAGGGAAGAGGGAGGTTGGTGTTTTGATTCTGCAGCCTCATAGTTATTTATGCTGCCGCCTTGTTTTGTTGCTACAGTAAAGGCCCGGATGGGACTGAGCTGGAGGCAGAGACGAAAAGCTCTTTGATGGTTTTCGAAGGACTGACAGACTGGAATGAGCTCATGAGCATAACAGCAGATTGTTTTTGATGCCGGCTTTCCCCGACCTCATTAAGAGGCTGCACTGCCTGTGAACAAACACACATCTGTCCGTTCAGCCTTTTGTTTTGGAAGTGAATCATTAGCTTTCCCTTTTTTGATCTCCTGCTCCTCCCAATTGTGTTCCCATGCCCCCCCTTCAGTCCTTTTGTCATTCCTCCTGTTGGTTTGAAATGGGTTGATCCTAAACGCAGGTCAGTGTCATGGTGCCCCGCTGGAGCAGGTGGGGGTCAAAGGTCCTTTGCAGAGGCAGTTATCTCCCACTATTTCTCCTGAGTCTGGGAACCCGGACATGAACCTTCTGTAATATGTGATCTGCCATCACTCCAAAGACCAACACAGCAGCAATACCCGGTGGGGGCTTGTCCAAGAGAGACATGTTGAGTGCATTTCTCTCTGCCTGCTTTGTGACTGCACCCTAACTAATCATGAGGGCCGAATATTCAGATGGCTGATGACATTTCTTATCTCTAAGTGTAGCTGTTACCAATTGAGGGTGGAGAGTTTTCATGGTTTGACAGCTTTTTCCACCATCATAAATACACCGGGGGCGCGCTCAGATGGTCGATCCATGTACGACTCACATGGGATAAATGAACAGGGTGTAGGCCTCCGGGCACTGAGTCCGTCTGAGGATCATCCCTCCTTATCATCTGCTGTGCCTCATCAGGCTCCCTCTTCTTCTTCTTCTTTCCCTCCATCATGTCTCTCTGCCTGCCGTCTCTCTCATACCCCAGCTCTCTCTCCTCTCCAGTACTGTACTCAGGGAGAGGGCCCTGGTCTCAGCAGCTTCCTGTCTCACAAAAGACCCCTCTGTTTCCCCCCTCTGTGTTTCCTTTGCTGCCACCCCACCCCCTTCCTCAACACCCCTGTGGTACATTCCCTCCCTCTCCCCCGGTGCATTCCTCGTTGACCTCGGCCGGCTGAGGAGTCCCTCTGTCAGCCGACTCTGAGAGAGTGGAACTGAGCCTCCTCTGATCCGTAAAAGCAGTTGTTTCAGTCCGAGTCAATAAACGGAGGGCGTGCTGCTAAGTTTGGGCTGAATGCTGGAGCAACAGCTCAGAGGACGACTTTGGGTCAGTCAGCTGATAAGGAAACATTTTCATCACCTTTGTGACCCTGAAAGCTTCCATAAACTGACATGAAATAACTTCTTCTTACGGCACAATCCTGGAGGATCTGACGGTTTAGAAGCTCATGCCTAGTATTTAGAAAAACAGTCCATTTAAGCCATTAAAGAATTAAAGTTTGCTGACTGACATTTGTCAATGAGTGAGATTTTGCTGCCTGGTAGCCTTGTGTGTTTGGCTGTGTTGGTATTTCAATCTCTAGGCTCTTTAACGCTTTATGTGTCATATGTGTTACATAGATTTCTGAGGTCTATTGCATCAAATCTTTGGTAAAAAAAAAAGAACAACCTGTTACACGGAATTCAATTCATGGTAAAAACAAAATGTACAGTACATATTGAAAACTGTGTTTAAAACCATATAAATATAATAGAAATATAATAACGGTACATAATTCTTAGGGCATTTTAAATCCATGAGTCATCAAATGTTGAAATGGAATATTTGTGTCTGAATGGCACTTTGGTGTTGCACAAGCTTTAAATACAGTTTGACTTGCTGAAATAAGCAACATCTTCCCAGACAAAATATTGTCCAAGTGAGCAGCTTATTCAGCTCCAAAACCCTTTTTCTAGGGGTCTAAACCCAAAAATTTGTTCCAAGCCACCTTTGGGCTCCCGGTTTACCTCCTCGCCATCATGATGGATGGTCCCTCTCCTCCTGATCTTAGGGGACGCTGCATCATGATTTCTTAAAGGAACTTCAGAATTGATTCATCAGGCCATGAGACAGTTTTCCATCTAATTTTAATACCAGGAGCAGGTTTGTGTACATTATCAGACAAAAGTCTGAGACTTGCTCTAGAGCAGAGAAGTCTCTGAATTTTTTACACAATTTTTTAAAAAGTAACTTTACAGTAATTGGATGTTTTTGCACTTTGTCTTACCATCAAATCCCATTTTGGTGTAAACCCTGCACATCTGCTGCCGTACACTTTGTTGTTGTGTCAAAGAAGCAACAAAGACGCCATCAAAAGACCACAAAAATGTCAAGAAACCGCCGAGAAAATCAGTGTGGTGCGGCACTGGAAACCAAAGTTATGAGCTGTGGCATCTCCCACCCCCCCACTAGCTCCAGAGCACGTTCAGGAGCAGAAACCTGCATGAAAGAATTAAATTTGCTTCAGTTTAGGGTCAACAAATGTCTCTGTTGCTGCTTTAAAGTGTTGCTGCCCAGCAGTTAGATAAATAGTTTAATCATTTATTGATCATTAATTACTATAGTCTAACAAACTTAATCAAAGACTGTAGTTGAAGTTGTCTAATATCTCAGAGACTAGCAGCATCAGCCTGTTCCAGCTTATTTGTTTTATTGTGTCTACACTCAGAGGATATTTAAAGTTTTTAACCAAACCTGATGCTGGCAGCACAGGTCTTCTCAGCATCCGGGTCCCCCACAGACCAACGACATGTCTGCCACCTGCCCCTGCCCTCCACCCCACAGCGTCCACCGGTGGGTCTGGGTCAGAGCCGTGCTTCCCGACCATCTGCCCCTTCACCATTCGACCACCCAAATGCTTGTGATGCTTCACATTCTTGCTGCTTCTCTTCTTTCATCCTTTACGGTGAGATAAAGCGCGACTTAAGCTCACTTTTCAGCCCTGATCATCTCTCTAAAAATGCCCTCCTGGCCAAGAAGAGTTACCAAAGAAGTTTGGATGACAGCTTTTAGTGGAGGCAGAGTTAAACTTGAATAAGTTGCATTTCGGGTCGATAGATCCAATGTCCATGCCTGTTATTCCCAGTATGGTCCCAGCTGACATTAGTCCATCAAAGGGCTTTATTTTAAGCCCCCAGGTTAATTTAATGTAGAGCCCTCAGTTTCTTTTAAGTGTTTTTTAACTTTTTGTTTTATAATATATTATATTAAAAAAATACCATCATAGTTGATGATAGTTTAATCTGTGTAAGGATCTTTTTAGCTTGGCTGGATAAAAAAAGAATTAATTTGTGACCAGAAAAGTGGCAGAAACAGGATTTGTAGACTTTTCCTTTATTTCCAGATGTGCCACTGGAATTATTTAGAGCCCTATAACATCGGCACCACAGGTCCAGGCATCCTTAACTAAAAGCTTTATCAAAAGAGGGGGTCTGCTTCCTGAACCCAAACTGGCCCACAGAGAGGGCCCTGATAACTGAAGGCTCTGCCTCCTGTCCTGCTTTTACCAACTCAGGAACCAGGAGCAGAGCTGGAGCCTGGGAGCATAGAATTCTGCTGGAAAACATCCAGCCATGATGGAGCTGCTCAGTCAGAGCAGAACTTCAGGTTCTGGTCTGGATCTAACAGGATGAGGAGCTGAAACAGGAGGAATCTGAGCTCGGCCGCTGGTTCTCGGCAGCTTTGGGATCGGCCGCTGGCTTTTCCATTTTTTTTTTTTGGCACAGCCCAGTGATAAAGAGCCACAGCAGTCCGTTA